TTAATGTAAATAAAAGCACAGAATCTTAAAAGTGAAGAGCGCTCAACCCCTTCTTAAATAGAGGTTTGAAAATATATAGAATTACAGTGAATGCTTGTCTATAAATCAAAGTACACTCTAATACAAAAAGCTTAATAAAAATAATTCAACCAGGTTAAAACTATCCATTCTCATTTCAATACTTAGTATTCTACTCTCAAACCAGAAAAAAAGGCACCAAGATTATCTAAAATTGTTTATAATTCATAGCTCTACCTTATTAAATTTAGACTTTACAGTATATTTATATAACACATATCTCAGCCACTGCCATTAAGCTGGAACTGAATAAACTGGCCTAGCAGTGAATTTTCAAAGGTTGTAAAACTACAAGACAGAGACTACCCATCTTTCTCCAAAGAGCTGTTGGTGGGTTATCAGCACAACTCCCTATCAACTGTTACCAGAGCTCCTTATGCGTCATATACAACAAAGAAAAATTAATTAAGCTTTATAGCTTTTTTCTCGTGAAAGGGTGAAAAGAAAAATTTATCTGGTCCTCTGCATTGCAGAGGAACAGCTCTCTAGCAAGCTACAGAAAAACAGGTCAGAGATCTTCAATGTCAACAACTTCATACGCTAACTCAAGTTACTTTTATTAAATTGTTAAGAAATGTTTTATTTCCTGGGGGAGCTCTGGTGGCCTAGTGGCAAGGAGCTGCAACTACAATCCCAGAGGCACACAGTTCGAATCCACCAGATGCTCTGCCGGGGAAGGAGAGGCAATCTCCTCCTGTACCAGTCAGATCTGATTTGACAGTACATGCACACAAAAATAATAAAATAAAATTTAAAAAAAAAAAAAAAGAAATGTTTTATTTCCTAATTCTTAAACTCTACAATGAAAATTACTAGTCAGGGAAGATGGCAATGCTCTGGAATGGAACATTACCATCTCTCACAAAGATGGCATCCTTTTTCAGAATATTAATAACAAAATATAAAGAGCGAATTTAAAGAGCACTGTGAAATCTACTTTTAGTTATCATTTCTGGCCAAGGATTACTTTAGCAAAGTACCACTGGTCATCTTTTACCTACAAGTCACTAAAGTCTAAATTTCTACTATTTATATAAACACTATGTTGGCTGTTGTGTACCATAGAGTCAAAACCAAGCCATAATTGACACTCTAGCAGATTTTCAGAGGCAGTTAATCGCTTGGGAGGAAATTGCCATCTTTTTTCTACAGAGCAGCTGGTGGCCTTAAACAGCATGCCTTTGCCATCCCAGAGATACGCAGTTCGAATTCACCAGATGCTCTGCTGAAGAAGGAGGGACAATCTCCTCCTGGTCAGATCTGATTTAACGGTACACACACACACACACACACACACACACACACACACACACACAAATAAAAAAAGAAACAACAAAAACCAAAAAACCAGTGTGCCTTAAGGATTGCAGTGCAGCTTCTTTGCCAGTAGGTCAACAAAAGAGCTTCCAAAAAACACTACAGCAATTTTAAAATGTCATCTAATAAATCTTCTACGTCCTCGCTGATATTATAATGAACTCTTTTCAAAAAAATTTAAGCTTGTTTCCACGTACTGTTTTGCAGAGGTTAGCATCCAGTTTTGTACTTAGAATATACTTAAAGCACAGTTAAAAAGATTTGTAAATGAGTCTCACACTAGATTATCTTTAAACTACATTTCTCCCTGATAAACACTCATGCAGTTCTTATAGATACAAACTTCAAAAACCAAGACACTTGGGGGCGGAAGAAAATATATATGAATGAATAAAAATTAATCTATAAACTTTCACTAAAATGACAATAAAAAAATAACCAAGTCACTAAGTTTCATTACATATTTCAAAAGTATGCATTCTCACTGAACAAATATTCGATTTTCCTTTAAACAGATAAAATTAAAAATGTTCAATCCTCTGTCTTAATGTGAGTGATATTACATAGCCACCAACAATTGTTTTTAAAAGATACTTGATTTTTAAAACTCACAGCTACCAACAATTGTTTTTTTAGAATTCCTAGAAAAAGCTTTCTGGTCTAAAGGGTTCTAATATGAATATACCAAGATGAAAACACAAAAACAAAACCCCAACCCAACCCTAAAACAGATATCCAACAGTATGTGGAATCATACCATATTCCATTTATTTATCTAAAAACGTTCAAAATTGGCTTGTAAAATTTTAGATGTACTAGAAATAGAAATGTTCCTTCACTGCTGAAATTAATCTGTTAGATCCTTTAATATAGTAAATAATCATCTGGGTATTAAAAAAACTCAAACCAGGAACTGGAAGTGCTTAAGTTAGAGGAAAACTAAAATTTTTTAACACTTAAGTTAGAACATTAGTCCTGCCAACCGGCCTTAAAAACAATCACTGACTTGGTTTGGCTTTCCCCTATTACCCAGCACTCTTAACACTGGAGGGGGGAGGGGGGAGGGGGGGAGAAAGATGAGATACATTTTGTTACTTTGTAAAATCTGTTACATCTCCCTTAAGTCTATAATCTGTGTAATAGTCATTGCACTGTTGAATGCCAGTGAGTTGAGCATTTAGAGACCCTATGAATAAAAGGCTTGAAGTCTTTTTATAACTATCAACATTTATCAAACTTCATAGTTTCCAGAGGCATGTTTAAAAAGTGGATGCCACTCCTGCTTCCAAATTAATTCATTGCATTTTTAAAAAAATTTATTTTAATTTTTTTAATTATTATTAAATTGTATTAGTTTTAATGAACATTTACAGGGATTTTGGGTTTTCATTCCTTCATTGCTGCACCATTCTCTCTACCCTCCTCCCCAGTTTGTTACATTTTTGTTAATTTATTACTTTCTCCTTATATGGCTATCAGAAATGCCAGTGCATAGCAAATTACATATAACATTCATAAGTGAACTTTTCTCCTTCAAGACCTTAAGGAGTTTATAAGGTTTTCCTCGATACACTAACACTAGATTCTAATAATCTGTTATTTCACAATCAGCTGCAAAGCCCTCTGCAAAGACTTTCTAAGTCTCTTTGAAGAATAGTCACTCAAAAATAAATAAGTATAGTACACAACGTCCATGCCTGAAACATTACATCAGTATTTCTCTCTTGATACCTATTGGAGTGGATGGAGATATCCTAGAAATTCTTATTAAAAAACAAGAACCATATTCACAGCATTATTTATTTTATTAATAGAAATTTCAACTATCCCATTAAGTTTTAAATTTCAACAAGGTAGCAAAAACTTAAATCAGGCTCAAGAAGACAGTGGCCTCAGGCATGTTTAATCTAGCCTTTATTTAAATATAGCTACTATTTTAAATACTTTAGTGATGAATACTGATAATTACTCAAATAACTTAAGATAAAATACACTTAACTAAAGGATTGGCACAAGAGAGAAATCTTAATTAGACCTTTTCTGAATTTTCAAATAATCCAAGATATTCAAGTAAAATAGCCTAAGTTCCATACTGATGGAGGCAAAACAGTGCGGCAAATCTAAATGTTTTGAAATGCCTCAGAAGCATAAAAGAAGTAGATTTCAAACATTACAAGTTTGGAGGGTCCCCCCTCAACTTCCTCCCCACATTCCAGACCATTTTAGATTCACTACCTTTAACATGTAAAGGAATACTCTATAAGGTGTTGTTTACTTTAGAGTCAGAACCTACCCATAGATGACCCTCCCAAGGGTTCTCGGAGGCAAGTTAATCACAAGTGAGGAGACTGTCCCATTCTTCTCTCACGGGTAGGCTCTCGGCCTCGAACCACGTGCCTTTAGGATTGCAGCGCAGCTTCTTGCCACTAGGCCACCAGAGCACTGTGGCAAGCTTATTTAAATTAAAAAAAAAAAGAAAGCAAACCCGATTTCTTCGAATTGCAGGATGTTACCACAATTAGGTCGTACTAAAGACAAACTTACCGAAGTCACATTTTTAAAAGGACAAGAGCTAACAGTATCTGGGCTATCAGTTAATTTTCGGGTGTTCGTGTGGTCCTCACTGTCCACCTGCAACCTTCGTCCAAGCTGAGTTAATACTCGCAGCCCTGAACCTTTCCCACCACTCAACGCTGCACCGTCACTCCCGCCAGACAGTCCACCGTCCTGCGCCGAGAGCCTTAAACAAAAGACCAACTTCCAGACGCAGCTCCCCGCGCGCCCCGCAGGGACGGCGCAGTGAGCGGGCGCAGGGCGGCGGCCGGGCGCGCGGTGGGGCCCGGGAGAGCCGGCGGGCCCGGGGTCGCGGGTCCGGGGCGGCGGCCGCGGCCCTCCCCCCCGGCGCGGCTTTGTGCTCACAATGCAGCTCCTGCGCGGCGCTTCCTCCCGCAGCCGCCGCCATGTTAGCCGCGCTCCATGTGCCCGCGGCCGCGGCGCTCGGCCGGCCGGACCCCGACCCCCCGCCGGCCGCCATCGCCTCCCCACCCCGCGCTCCAATCCCCCGGGGCCCCAAACCGCCGGGCTGCGGGATTTCGTCTCGGGGTGGAGCGGGGCGCGAGGTTCCGGGGGGAACGCAGACAATTGAAACAAAGAGAACGTACGGAAGCCCACGGGGCCGGGGGGGGGGCGGCGAAGGGCACCCCCTCCGAAACGAGCCCGCCGGGCTCTCCACGCATCGCTCGGCCCGGGGAGAGAGGGGCAACCCAAGAGGCCTCGAGTGACCGGGGCCCCGGGGGAGTCACTGCGCCCCCCGCCCCACGAGGCGTCGGTTGGCCCCGGGTCCCCCCCAGCCCGGAGCTCTGCACGCCGCCCCGGCGGCCTTGCTAACGGCCAAGGGCACCACCCACCCCCTGGCCGCTCCCGATGACCAGCAGCCTCGGGCCCCGCGTCCGCCCAAGGGGGCAAGCGCCGCCCCTCGGGGCCTCCTTTCCAGGCACACGGCTGTTGAGGGGTGCAGAGGACCCGGAGAGCCAAGAAGGGAAGGCGACGGCATTCGAGGGGGACCCGGCCGCATCAACCCTGCCCCTCCTCGCAAGTCCCAGCACCTTTTTCTTCTCCAGGTTCCGAAGTTTCTTGTCGATCACCCCGAGGATTTGCTTCATGGCCTCGGTCTGGACGGCGCCGGTGCCGGTCGCGGGGTGCTGAGAAGCCGGCGCCGCTGCCCCGGCCCCCGCCTCGCTCCCGGAGGGACCCGACGGGGGTGGCGGTCCGGATGCCTTGCTGCCGCTTCCGCTGTGGCTGGTGGCCGAGGGCATCTTTGAGAGTCGGGAGAAAGAAGAAAAAGCGGGAGGCAAGACAAGAGCGGCCAGTCAGGAGACGGACGGGGCGAGACGCGGGACAAAACGCGCAGCGGGGCGATCAGGCG